AGATCCCCTCTGATTCAACTGCCGTATCCCAGGTACGGTGGCTTGGCCGTTGGGAAGGAGTACCTCCGATCAGTTTTCCTCTCCAAATTTCCCATAAATTTCGATGGAGGCACTCTTTCAGCGAAAGCCATGCTATTTTACTCGAAGAAACTCTCGCTACTCTCGCTACTCTCGCTATTTTGTCTACTTACTCTTTTGTTTTCAACCTCAACAATGGCAAGGAAGCGCAAGTCACTCGATCAGCAGTACCGGCCGGCCGTTGCCAGAAGCATGGTTGTCACTATAATAACAGGAAGAACTTTACACAGGTATGTCACTCCTTCGCTCCTTCGCCAAATCGCTCCACGATTTCACTCTGCTGCTCGCTCACACCATGGTCGCTCTTCTTCATTTTTCTTCAGGAGGAGTTCCTAGCCATTACACCCACTGATGTCGCCCAGTTCCTGAACTTCCTTGCCTATGGAAAGATCAACCCAGGGCCCAATGACCGCCCCACCCACAAGAGATCTACCACTCTTGAACAATACAAGAAGGCAATCAGCCACTTCCATCCGAACCGCCACGCATCATGGGCTGTTGGTCCCAATGTTGGGAATCCCACTCGATCCAGGGTTGTCAATGAAGTGATCAAAGCTGTGAAGAAGGCTGAGGTCAGGAAGCAGGGCAGGAAATCCAATGTCAAGAGGGATCTCAAGATCCGGGAATTCCACAAGACCATTCGCATTGTGGAACGCGATGGAGGAGCGAACATTGACACGACGATCAAGATCCCAACCATGTTGAAGGTTCAGTTTCACTTGATTGGCTGCACTGATGATTTGACCAACATGGAGACTTTGGATCTGCGCAGCCACTCCAAGTTTCCAAACTTCGCTCTTGAAACCAAGGTATCCTGGAGCAAGAATGTCCAGGAGGAGCGTGCTTGCCTGAACCAAATCATGCTGGGTGCCGCTGACCCTGACTTTTGCGTCCTGATTGCCTTGGCTATTTGGATCGAGACTCGTCTTGAGAGGGGACACGGTGATCCCAAGTTTCTGTTTGGTCATTACCGTGTCGACGATGAAGAAGCGTTCCTTGCCGCCATCGAAGCTCTGGACAACGACGAAGAGCTCGATGAGACGACGATTGAGACGGAGCCTGACCGAGTCAACGCCTGGTACCAACGGGCTTGGAAGAAGGCTTGGAAGGACCCAGAGTTCGTGGAGCTTGCGGCTCAAGTCCAGGGAAGCCTTGGTACCCACATTGTGCACAAGTTGCCTCCAACCTACGCTGCTGAGTGTGGGATTACCCAGTCCGAGAATGAAACTCGGGGCCGCTGGAAGGGAGAGAAGAATGGACACATCGTCCATGTGTACATCAACCTGGAGCAGCTTCCCATCGACGCCAAGGTTGCTGGAACGCTTGCTGTTGGTGGTCCCGTCAAGTACAGCATCAAGGCCAACAGTGGAGTGGACCATGGGTTCATCGGTGAGCATGTCTGTCCGAAGATGTGTGACTTCTTCGCTGACGACCCAAGCAACAACATCGCCATGGTGCTTGGTCCAGCCTTGCTTTGGGCTGCGATGGAACCTGGCTTGGAGCATATGATGACGGCTGAGATTCGCAACCGCATCCAGACGGAGTATGCCCAGCTTCGAACCACTTTGGATGAGGATCCAGGGGCCGACTACAACCCAGTGGCCAAAATCCCTCTCACAATCTACAAGGTAGCCAATGCTTTGCACATTACTGAGTTGGCTCCCACCGCCCAGGCCCAAGCTGGCGCTGAGCCCTTGGTTGGAGGTGGTGCTGGTGGTGGCATCAATGTTGAACAGCTCAAGCAATTGCTTGCTCTCCAACATAGGACTCAGCAGGCGATCGAGGAGGCCTAGCAGATCTTGGCACAGGACATGAGCTCATTGAGGGGCTATGTCTCGACCAACATTGCCATTGTCAACAAGAATATTGGGAGGATCAACCACTTCCAGTTATTCGCGAGGGGTGGTGGCAATGATGCTCAAAGGCTTCCTCTTCCTGGTGCGGTCGGTGGAGCTGGCGGCGGTGGTGGTGGAGCTGGCGGCGGTGGTGCTGCTGCGGCGGGCGGAGGACTTCCCCCACCACCACCAACACCAAGGAGTCCTGGGCGTTTGGCCCGTACTCCTGCCACAAGGGCCCCGACACCCGCTACCCTCCCAGTTCAGCTTGCGAAGAAGCCTTTCAACCTCTACGACCTGTGGGACGAGTGGATCAAGGGCCTGAACGGGAACAAGGCCGCATGTGAGTTTACTGCTCGTGAGCGCGGCTGCATCAAGGACAAGTTCTGCCGCCGCAAGCATATGTGGGACTGTGTGATTCGGTTGATGGCGAAGGGCTTCGATTGGAGGGCTGCGATCGACCGCATCTATGCCACCTACGGGTGGCTTACGGTTGCCCAGATTATCAACAAGTTGAAGCACGACAAGAAGAATCAGCCCACCGGCTTCCACCCACGCTTGCGTTGAGCGAACTGCCTTGGTGGTGGTACCCAGCCTACAGCGCGATCCTGCTGTAGGCATAGCAAAAACAAATTTTATGTGTTTCATTTTAGTTTTAAGAATTTTTTGTGGTTACTATTTTTCTTGTTGTGTTTTGTTATCTTGTTTATGATCTGAGGGACTTTGCGTTTTTTACGTGCTTTTCGACTTGCGATCTTTTGATGCCGATCACGTACTAGCTAGAGTAGCTAGCTAGCGGACTTTGCGAGTTTCGAGTGACTTGCAATCTTTTGCTTGGATTGACTTGGTTGGGTCAGTCTTCTTGTGTTCCTTCGGTCGTTCAGTGATCGTGTGTTCAGTGAGGCTTCATTGATACCAGTGAGCGAGCCAGTCGTTCGCTGGAACATCGATGTTCCAGTCAGCTTGGAAGAAGGTCGAGAAAGGTAGAAACACCCAAAACAAAGGGAAAGACAGGGTAACACGTAGAGCCTGGTACTCCATGTACACGGTTGTATTCCTGGTTTGTTAGAGGGGTTATACCTTTACTGTATGGATACTAGCTAGCTAGTACCGTAGTAGTAGATCTCGAGTGTCAGGAGCTGTGCCAGGTCGAGTGATGAATGATTCGATTCAATCGATCCTCAATCGAACGTTCGATTGATCGATACCTATTAATAGTCGAGTCTCAGTCGAGTGACGAGTGACTCAGTCAATCGACGACTGAAGAGTATGACAAATAGGGTTCAGATTTGATATTCTCATGAAAAATCGAGCGAGGTGTCATGATAACGGCCACATAAATGTCATCGACCAACAGCATTGCTTTGACTTTCTCATGCATTCACATCAGTTGCTTCGCCACCAAAAGCTTGACTAGCTAGATCTTAGATGCCTACTGTCACCATGGACAAGGAGAATAGCGCCTCTCGCGCCCCAAAGGTTGCTTTGAACAATAAATCTGTCCGCCAGAAGACATTGGAAGATTCGTCTAATTCGAAGGACAAGACCTCGGTTGCCGTCAAGAGCCAACCGCAAAAAGAACGAGAAGAAAGAGCACAAAAGGGAAAGCAATGGTCTCTAAAGGACTTTGAAATCGGCAAGCCTCTAGGCAGAGGAAAGTTTGGATCTGTCTATCTCGCGAGAGAGAAGCGAACGAAATACATCGTCGCGATCAAGGTGCTACAAAAGTCCCAGCTTCTCAAGGCAGGCGTGGAGCATCAGTTGAGGCGTGAAATTGAGATTCAGAGCCACCTTCGTCATCGTCATATTCTTCGAATGTACGGATACTTCTATGACTCGAAACGAATTTACTTGATTTTGGAGTATTCTCCCGGTGGCGAGCTGTACAAGCGATTGCAGGCAAAAGGAAGGTTCTCCGACAAAGTGGCAGCAAGGTACATTGCGGATCTGGCCAAAGCCTTGGACTATTGCCACGAGAAGCACGTCATTCATAGAGACATCAAGCCTGAAAACTTGTTGATTGGAGCACAAAGCGAAATCAAGATTGCCGATTTTGGGTGGTCAGTTCATGCGCCAACTTCACGACGAAATACCTTGTGTGGAACTCTAGACTATTTACCACCCGAAATGGTAGAAGGGCGAGAGCACGATGAGATGGTCGATGTTTGGAGCCTCGGAATTCTTCTTTATGAGTTTCTCGTTGGAGTACCTCCCTTTGAGGCAGAAGGTCACACGGCAACCTATCGGCGTATTTCCAGGGTGGACTTGAGATTCCCGGATCATGTCACTCATGAGGCTCGAAATCTCATTGAGAAACTGTTGGTAAAGGAACCACACTTGCGTATGCCCTTGAAGGACGTTCCTCGACATCCTTGGGTGATCAAGTGTCTACGCAACTAAAAACTGACTACAAAATTGTTCAAGGCACGGCAATGCCTTGACGGGAACTTACTGGCGAATCTTGCAGACGGCAAGAAGTGGATAGACAAAGCATAACAAGTAGTACAATACCGGTACCTGTATGTGTCTTCGTTTTGCCAATCTTGTTGAGAAGAATTCGCTATGTCTTGAAGCTGCGAATTATAAACAAAGCAACACAGAAAAGAGGCATTAATATAGTCTTTCCAAAGCATGCCCAGAGCCAATTCGTAAACAGACAACGTGGTTACGATTCGATTCATCATTCATTTCTACGAAGGCAACATGGCATGGTTATGCTCAATGTCTTCCCCAACGACGTCATCCTTTTTTTTAAAAAAAGGATTGCCTCTACCAGTAACTAAAAAGTAGCCTGCAGACCTGGTACATGCACGGTAGTGAAATCTTCACCATACATGCACCTGCCTGAAAGTAGCGTGATATTTTGTTCCAGTTCCTGTTGAGCCGACTCGGACGATTGCAACGACAACGATAGCAATAGTTTAGTATTGCCATATATGGGAAGCAGCCTGGGCGGGTCCAGGAGGTGATCCGTCCATCAACCTTGGCTCAGCCGTGGTACAGTGTACCGGTACAGCAGCTCTACTCTACTCTGTATTAAGAGCCTTCTAGGTCGTCTCCACATATCACACAGCTGTACAATGACAACGAAAGTAGAGTGTTAGGGTATTTACTCCAGGATACTGTACGTGCAGTACTGTAGCCTGTATAAATTGCTTTTGCACCTGGCAGCTTGGTGGCTGCCTCGGGCTCGGCTCGCAAGCTCGCCTCCCCCTCGAATATTGCAGGCAATCTCAGATTTATACATGGCTCTTGTATCTTATACGGTTCCCTAATGCCAGCTTGGTGGCTGCCTCGGGCTCGGCTCGCAAGCTCGCCTCCCCCTCGAATATTGCCGGCAATCCCAGATCTATACATTGCTCTTGTATCTTGTACGGTTCCCTATTGGCAGCTTGGTGGCTGCATCGGGTCTTATATGGTTCCCCAATGCAGCTTGGTGGTTGCCTCGGGCTCGGGTCGCAAGCTCGCCTCCCCATCAAATATTTCAGGCAATCTCTATTGCAGGCAATCTCAGATCATACATTGCTTTGCGAGGCCAGCTAGCAGGCATTCCTTGTACTAGTAGCTACCAGTACCGGTGCTAGAATCTGATCGCAGATCTGGTTTGCGAACAGCACACACTGTAGCCTTAGCCTTACTAGGGTACTGGTACCGTAGGGAACGGTTAGATATTGAGGTACTTCAACGTGGGTCCTCAAGTCTTTCTATGTGTATCGGCATCCGTTGGTGTCCAACGTGCCGTTGCATTATCTAATTCCAATACAATTTCCTGCAGTAGCACGCGTGCCTAAAGCACCACCTCTGCCCACTTGAATTTTTAGGGGGGGTTAGGCACTCGGGCGGGGGAGAGGAGGAGGAAAAAGAGAGAGGAGGGGTAGGGTTCAGATTCCAGATTCCGACCGGATTCACTGGCACGTCACACCAAAGTGAGTCAGCCACACCTTCTACTTATGAAAAAGGGGGCAATGGCATGTCTTAGGGGCTGATTTGTTAACGAAACGGCACTCGAAGTGTCAGCACTCCCATGGATCAAGAGTACTCCAGAGCTACAGTACTTTTTTCTGAACCTGTCGTTAACTTTCTCTATTTTATTTGAATCCTCCCTTCCCAAAATTCGGTCACCCATTCAATGCATACCCATTCATTCGATAAACACAATTGGTTGCATGAGGTGGGCGACTTCTACGTGTTGCTAGGTTTTTGGTAGTTGGTAGTTGGTTGGTTGGTTGTTGGTTGTTGGTTGTTGTTGCCGCGGTGCAATCGGTGCTGCTACCGGCGCTGCTACTACCATCTCCTCTACTACCATCTCCTCTAACTGTTGACTGTTATCTTGTTGGCGAACATCATCGCTGTTTAGGCGTTCCTCTCTAATTGGAGAATTGCCGTTGACAGTTTGTCGGGGAGGAGAATTCAAATTCAAATCCATCGGTATTGGTGATGCTTGCGGCGATGGTGGTTGAGCGACCAACTGACACTTTTGGCAGAAGCAATGGCCAATTTCACAGTATTTCTGCCGGTGAGGTTTCACCATTTTGATGTATGATGCGAAGAATCTCTCACCATTATCCCTCGGCAGCTCCTCGAATTTAGGAAATGGTCAATAAGTTTCTTGAACGTTCAGTTCCAATACTCAAGTAGTGGACTGGGCCTCGCTGAAACCTTCCTCAGGTACAGCGGTAGTCAGGCAGTTCAGGGAGCCTTGTCGTGCCTCAGGAGTGTTCCAACACCTCCATAGTAGGCACCAAACCAAGGACTTGGCCCTGTCAGTCAGACAGGAGGCCAGCAGAGCTCTCTGCTGGGCCCTTTTGGCCAGCTCTCCTCAGGAGCTGGGGCCTTCGTTATTCAATCGTGCAGTGGCAGTCTGGGAACAGTACTATCTGCTACCTCCTCTCTTCTGCCCGGCCTCAACAGGATAGGTATCAACTGCTGCGGTATCAAAGGGGCTACAAGCTAATCAGGATCGTCTCAATCTTTCGTACTATTTTCTTAACTATGGTAGAAAGGACAAATGCAATACACGGCTCTTAGCCTTATTCGCGACTCGATCCTAGATAGGGTTTGAGTTCGACTCATGACTGAGTCTCTCGTGATAGTCATTGAGACAGGGTTCTCATGACCGCTAGTCATACTAGGTCGATGTGAAACATCGCGGCTAGATATTTAGCTGGCGTGGAGAGATTCCACGCTACTAGATAATGCTAGACGAATCTTCCACGCGTTCCGTTTTTGGATCGTGGAAGAGTAGATTACTACCACAACCTACTCTATTCACACTTACAGTCTCCCGCGGGAGTTCAGATCTACGATCCCTTTATTGTGATCTCTCTCGTTGATTAGTTTTCATAGCTTTCTAATCCTCTCATAACTTTCATTCTCTCAAACTCAAAACACTCGAAAGATCTTTACACTAGCTTTTAGCGTAGTGCATTTTGTTAACAAACACAATAGCTTTCAGCTACACCTCAACCTATTCCTTCACCTGAAGATGGCTCAAGGAAAACACATGCGTTCCGCAACTTAGAAACAGTTGCGTGACAAACCCATTCTCCTCTCGTCGACAATGACAAGAAACGAGATCGACGATACTCTGCACCATGCAAACTCCAACCATGTTGCCAAGCACAATCAGAAGACTCTGACAATGAGGACAACTCCTCTATCAATTTCAATCACATTGGATGGAGAAATCTTACTGAGGATTGGCCAGATGATGACTCAACGGAACCATGTTCCGATTTCTCATACCAAAGTGATGAAGATATCTCACTAACTAGTAAACAAGAATTGTTTGCAATGATGAACACTACGGCAAATTAGATGATTGCTAGAAGCTGCTCAACTAGACTCTGATGATCTATTTAGCATCGTTAACCTCGTCCGTGGCCAACCACCTCGTAACGTCGCAAGACAAAGACCTCAAACCCATCGTCTATGTTAGATATTAACAAGCGAGAAAAAGGGAAACCAAAACCCGTTACACTCCGTTGCTTACTGATACAGGAGCATCCGGAACCTTTATTGCTCAACCTCATGCTAAGAAATTACGCATGAAGGATCTTGGGGCATCCAAACAATGTGGACTACCCCTGCAGGAGAATTAAACACCAGCACGAAGTGCAAGGTGCATTCATGATTCCTGAATTCCACGAAGATAGAATTATCGAGTGGGATTTACACGTCACCAAGAGTTGGGGCGTATGACATGATCATAGGTCGAGACTATTCTCTTTGACTTAGGATTCAAGTTCGATTTCATACCATGTCAGTGGAGTGGGACGGCGCATCTATTCCTATGAAAGACAGCGAACCAATGAAGAAGAGACTTTCTTCATTCCTGATCCTACTGCTGTTGATGACAGTGCAGATCGTCTCAAGAAGATTCTTGATACGAACAACTGAACAAGCGTTTGCCAAAGTCAAGATCAGAGAGGAGGGGTAGGGTTCAGATTCCAGATTCCGACCGGATTCACTGGCACGTCACACCAAAGTGAGTCAGCCACACCTTCTACTTATGAAAAAGGGGGCAATGGCATGTCTTAGGGGCTGATTTGTTAACGAAACGGCACTCGAAGTGTCAGCACTCCCATGGATCAAGAGTACTCCAGAGCTACAGTACTTTTTTCTGAACCTGGCGTTAACTTTCTCTATTTTATTTGAATCCTCCCTTCCCAAAATTCGGTCACCCATTCAATGCATACCCATTCATTCGATAAACACAATTGGTTGCATGAGGTGGGCGACTTCTACGTGTTGCTAGGTTTGTTGGTAGTTGGTTGTTGGTTGTTGGTTGTTGGTTGTTGGTTGTTGTTGGCCGCGGTGCAATCGGTGCTGCTACCGGCGCTGCTACTACCATCTCCTCTACTACCATCTCCTCTAACTGTTGACTGTTATCTTGTTGGCGAACATCATCGCTGTTTAGGCGTTCCTCTCTAATTGGAGAATTGCCGTTGACAGTTTGTCGGGGAGGAGAATTCAAATTCAAATCCATCGGTATTGGTGATGCTTGCGGCGATGGTGGTTGAGCGACCAACTGACACTTTTGGCAGAAGCAATGGCCAATTTCACAGTATTTCTGCCGGTGAGGTTTCACCATTTTGATGTATGATGCGAAGAATCTCTCACCATTATCCCTCGGCAGCTCCTCGAATTTAGGAAATGGTCAATAAGTTTCTTGAACGTTCAGTTCCAATACTCAAGTAGTGGACTGGGCCTCGCTGAAACCCTTCCTCGGGTACAGCGGTAGTCAGGCAGTTCAGGGAGCCTTGTCGTGCCTCAGGAGTGTTCCAACACCTCCAGTAGTAGGCACCAAACCAAGGACTTGGCCCTGTCAGTCAGACAGGAGGGCCAGCAGAGCTCTCTGCTGGGCCCTTTGGGCCAGCTCTCCTCAGGAGCTGGGGGGC